TACTAGCTAACTCTGTTATAAAGTAAAATAATCATAATGTTTTTAATTTAATATATTTAGTAGTATGGAAATTTTTATTATTCCTATTCTCTTTTACACTTATGTTTCACCTAGAATACTACAAAGTATTAGAAGGTTTAACAATATAGTATCTGGATTTTCTTTTTGCCTATAAACACAAACATTTGAAACTCCAAATTCATGTTAATTTGTAGATGCATAGGAAGAAATGAAGATTTTGGATTTGAAGATCAGAGCAAATTTATCATTATGTAATTGTAAATTCATTTATATTTTAAATATATTTAAGGAAGTGTAATGCTTGAATTATAATTATCTTAAATTATACAAAACTTTAATATTTAAAATCTTTTTAAGCAAATCACAAATATCTGTAAGTCAGAGGAGTTTCCCTGAAAAAATTACATTATCTTTGGAAGAGATGATATTATAGACATTTTTCAGTGAGGGACAGTTAGGGAAGATTTAACCTTTTAATTTTATTATTTTGTTTAAGTCACAGGCCTCTTTAATAATCCTATGAAAGGGATAGATCTAGAAGAAATGCATGTAGGCACAAACACAGTATTTGAAAATGATTTTACCCTCTTTGGAATTTCATCAAAGATCATCCATACCATTAGAGTAAGAATTCATAGCAAAGTATGGGACATGAGAAGAGAAACAATTATTTTAGTCTGTCTTTTTAATAATATTTAATACTTTCCATTAGCAAATTGTAATAAATTATAGACTTTTAAAATTGTCCTTACTGGGATGCTTGGGTGGCTCAATGGTTGAGCGTCTGCCTTTGGCTCAGGGCGTGATCCCAGAGTCCCGGAATCGAGTCCCACGTCGGGCTTCCTGCATGAAGCTTGCTTCTCCCTCTGCCTGTGTCTCTGCCTCTTTCTCTCTGTGTCTTTCATGAATAAATAAATAAAATCTTTAAAAAATAAGTAAATAAAATAAAACCGTCCTTACTTTTCTCACCTTTCGTGTTCCAATCAGAGTCCTTGTTGAGTTTAGAAGAAATGAGTTCCTAAGTATGGTTTTAAATTAACCCATAAAGGTTCTAGTTTTATTATTTCTTAATTATAATATTGAGTTGATATTTGACATATGTACATTCATTTAAAAAATGTCAGAGTTTAAAATAATGGTGTAAATGAAGTGGATCTAAAGAAAATGGATTAAATTCAATAAATATTTTTTTAGCTAAATTACTATCTGCTTTTGAAGAAGCACAGTTTATTTAACATCAGACACAGCTTTCAGCTTGTAGAAAGCACGGTGAAAAATTCCAACTTAAATACCTTTTGTATAAAATTACAGTGTTGGGCACCTGGGTGGCTCAGTTGGCTAAGTGTCTGCCTTTGGCTCAGATCATGATCCCAGAGTCCTGGGGTCTAGCCCAGCATCATGCTCCCTGCTCAGTGGGGAGCCTCCTCCCTTCTGCCACTACCCCTGTTAGTGTTTTCTCTCTCTCTCTGTCAAATAAATAAATAAAAATCTTTTTTAAAAATTACAGTGTTAATTGTACCTTAGAGGGAGAGAAGAATTGTTTATTCATATCATGTTATCACAATTATAGCTAAAATTTAATCTATAGCAAACATCCTTCTCTTTTGACTGTTTTACCTAAGCTATATGTTCATTAAAAGACTAAATGCAATTTAAATTTGTTGTAGAAAATGAGAGCATTTTTTCTTAACTTCTAGTATATGACAGTTTTGAAATTAAAAAAATTAAAACCCAGAAGCTCCCCAATTTTTAAATTCCTTTATAACAGAATGACAACTGACATTTTAATGATTTTGTTAGTTTACAAATGCTGCCAACATTCAGAATGCTCCTAAAATGTGAATTTAATGCTAGGTTTTATGGGAGAATTGGAAAATATTTCATATTTTAGCTTTGCTATTGGCATTAAAAGTGCCAATGCAAAAATTTTAAGTGACCATTCTTTTCAAAACAAGATACTTGAGCTTTCTAGGCCATGGTTAATTTTGCTTATACCGGGATACTTGACAGATAACCATATTCCAAGGATTCAAATCATTTTTAATCATTTCTAAGTATCACTCTATATAAATCTACATTAATAATCATGTCCTCTGGTTCAAATTGTGATATTTCATTTTAATTCATATATTGTTTTACTATTTAGATAGACACACCAATAATTCAGAAATAATGTCATCTCAAGTAAGCAAACTCTGTAAAAAAGTTAAACTCTCCAAATTCACACGGAAGCTTCTTCATTGATGTTTGGAGAAAAAATATTTACTGAAACATAATAACTTGTTTGAATAATTATTTCAGAATACACACTAATGTATATACCATATGGAAGTATTGAGAATAACTAAAAAATGTGAATTTTATGTAATTATCTGATCTTTTGATATGAGTTAGTAAATGATAAGCTATTGGCATTTTGCTTCTGTTCTTGGGATCTGAGAGCAAGCAATGAGGATAGATGGCAACTACATTTTTTTCTGGGTAGTCAAGGGAGTCTACTGACAATTTTGAATCAAAATTTGGGGATTTTCTTTCTTTGACAGATTAAAAAATGTTAAATTTCATTCCCTTAAGAATAAAGATAGTGTATTAGTCATTTTTGGAAGGTCAAATGAAGTCATTTAAAACCATTTTAGTGGGCACCTGAGTGGCTCAGTGGTTGAGCGTCTGCCTTTGGCTCAGGTCGTGATCCCGGGGTGCTGGGATCAAGTCCCACATCAGGCTCCCTGCATGGAGCCTGCCTCTCTCTCTGTGTGTCTCATGAATAAATAAATAAAATCTTTTTAAAAATCTACAAAAAAAAACATTTTAGGATTCGTTTTAGTTAGGCTACTACTGTCCCCGTATGATTTAGTTTTGAGTTTTGCAACATAAAGATTTAAATACAGCCATATCACAAACTAAGTAATCCTATTTAGAGAACTGAGGTGTTGTCCTGGCAAGGTAAAATCACCAGAAATGTTTCAGATTGCTTCAGGCCAGTAGCTCTTGGGAAATTATCTTTCCAGTGTAAGTAACTATCTTCCCTAAGAATTTCATGATAATAAAAGTGAAGGTTACAAAGCTATGGGCCAATCAATGTGAAGAATATCTTAAAAATAATATTATTTGGTGAGAATATTAAGCTAATGTCATTTAAGTTTGGTTTTATTACAAATACAGATGACTTTGAGTTACTTTAAGCTTTAAGTGTACAGTATGACTTATTACTTACTATTCATTTGATTTCCTCCATACTCAAAGCAAATGACAGAGCAAGTATCTCAAGGTACCTACACCATAGGCAGAAGGCAGAAAACATATTTTTGTACATTTTCTTGTATTGCACATGGCTTTATGTAAATATAATGCATCTTAATAATTTTGTCTCAATTTCTAATTAATCTCAAGTAGCCTTTTACATAGTAATCATTACAACTCTATATTGTCAAGTATTTAATAAATTTCTACTACTTTTCTCAAGATCTCCATTGTACCATCCTTTAATCATAATAATCATCATTTACTGTCTCAGAAGTCAGCTTTTTCAAAGCAAGTGTGCATCATTGCTTAATTCACAGAACAGTGGTGTCAGGGATGGATGTTGTCTACCTAATTTACTGAATTTAAACAAAGCTAAACATCTAATAATGTTATGCTTAAAGTATAATTAAAACATTTGCCCACACATTTCAAACTATGTATTTATCTCTTGTGCTATTCATCTGTTCTTGAATACACAATAAAAGCTACATATTTGCTTAAGTTTTATAATCGATGTCAGTGTCTTTTATCGAGGATGATAGGCCTTTAGCTATTGCAATGGAAACATTTGCCAGCAAGTGTCTTTATAAACTCCTCATAAGAGGTAAAATCAGCTGCCAAGTCAATAGCATATATCGACATTCATACTATAATGAGGGCATTTGGCTCTCTTGGCAGAAGCCTCAGTACTTTAATCACACACACAAAAAAATTCCCCCCCATAAATATATGTATATGCACAACTTAAAACTAAATCTTAGCACTGTGTGCAGAGGTTGAATAGTCTGAGAAATTGTCAGAAGGTTATAAAAAAATAACATAGGTCTCACACAACACACGTGTATCTTTTGAAGAGTTTATTCTCCACAGAACTGTGCTCTTAGTTCTTTTTCCCCCTTCATTTGTAAAAATGTATAAAATAATAGCAAGGTCTTGAAGCTAAGCTGCTTATGATGGATTCTGACTTAAAATAGCTTGTATTTTATCAAAGGCTGTAGTTTTCCTATCTAAACAGTCACGCTTCCACTTAGGAGACTAAGAAAGATTTAAATGTAATGTATTTCTTTCATATTACAAATTAAAGAGCTAAAAATTTTATATTGTATTTTCAAAATGTAAGAATTTCATATATGTGGTCAGATATAGCCACTAGAAATAGAAAACTAATTTTTTTCTCTTAGTCCATTTCTAAGACTGGCAAATATTCATGAAACACTGCTGGTAGAAATTGATTTAATAAGAATGCCTCAGAAAAGCAGGTGTTTATCAGTTAAAACAGTTTTTAGATGACTGCAGTTAGCTGAGGATGTTAAGTGGATGTGTGCATGCATGCTAAGCATGTGCATATATGTGTGATGTGTTTCAGTATGCATATTTGTTTATATATGTACATGCAACAAGCAGTTGATTAAATGGAAAGCATATTTTCACAATTAAATCTGATTTCACATAGTCATTTATAAATGGAATTGAAAATATTTCATATCAGGTGAAGAAGTAGGGTACTTATATTTTGTTACTAACATTTGTGTTCCCCATTTTGTGTTATTTGAGTCATGTCCATCTTTAGATTAACAGGTGCTAGCATTGAATATTCTGCATTTTGTTTATTAGTCATGAGTTATTTCTAAATTTGATTTAATTGAAATCATATCAAAAGAATTGAAATCTTAAACCATTCAGTTCCAAAAAGTGCTTCGCCTTTGTTAATAGGCTTCCATTGTGTGTTTTTGCAGCAAGCTTAGTAGTGGAGGAGCGAACAAGACAGATGAAAATGAAAGTCCATCGATTTAAGCAGACAACAGGGTCTGGTTCTAGTCAAGAACTTGATCGCGAGCAATATTCCAAGGTAAAACTAGTAGTATCCAACCAATAGTTTCCCTTTAAAAAAAAATGTATAGTGTGTATTGCAGGTAGGACTGGCAAGTGCCAAGTTATGTTAGAGAAGTTATCATTCACGTGATGGTCTTGCATCATAACCTCTGTCCTTTTGATATTTTAGAAGATATGTATCTTTGTTAAAATAAACTTGGGATTTAATGTCTTTTTCTAAAAAGAAAATGTAAATACTTGATATTAAAGTCATTTAGTGATCTGTTACCAAGTCAAATTGACATAAATAAGCAAGATAATGAAGCTATTTTATTGCTTGAATCTCATTTAATATCTCATTTAAAATATTAAGATAAAGGTTTATAATCTTAAATACTATTTTAGGTTGATATTGACTATTGAGATTTATTAGTGAGTGACACAAGTTATACAATGTGAGATTTCTTCTTGATCTGTCTTTAGTGAGAAGAATAAATGATATATTCTTAGAAACTGAAATCACAATTTCAAGTGGCAATAAAACATTTAATTTATATTTCAATATTATTTTATAAGGATACACTAGGAGTTTATAAACTGCTAATTAGCATGTAATAATTTTAATTAAAATGTGTGTAGAATTTTTAACCTCATGAAACAATTTTAAACAGATTATATGTTTCACTTAAAATATACATATATTTTTAATACTTACAAAAGTGGCAGCAGCCATTACAGAACAACCCATGTTATAATTTGATGTCAAGAAGCCCTTTTGGTTGGAAGTAATGGACTTTTAGAAATTCAAGATTAAATAAAAACTGTACTTAATATTGTGAACTTGAAATATGAATGTAGAAAAACCTACTTATTTGTAAATATTGGGGGTTGATCTTTACATAGCCAGATATTCAGAGACTGATACAAAAAAATAGAATTGGTCACAAAATATGACTTGTCACCAGACTCAAAAAGAGTCCTATGTATTGGCTATGGTTTACCACCCTACATCTTAATTAGCTATAGGATTTCTAATTGAGACAATGCCTAGGGTCACTGATTTCGGTGAGGCTCAGTACCATAAGAGTCTGAAACAACACTTTAAAAAGTAAAATCATTTAAGAAAAAAACAAAACAACCAACTTATGCAACGATGAATTATTGAACTCTACATCTGAAACTAATTATTATATGTTGGCTAATTGAATTTAAATTAAAAGAAAAAAACGTAAGCAGAATATCTTAATGTGCCATAGAGTTGCTGATTCCAGCTCTACAAGTCTTTTCTGTGGTTCATTCTTAATTATTATCACTTAGCTTATTTGTCTGTCTTCTTTATAAATATCATCATTATTTTTGTTTTCTTTTACAACAAATGAAGTAGTGATTAGAAGGCAGGATAATTTAGGTTTTCTTCCTCCACAGTTGGATGCAGTTATTTAGAAAGGTTCTTTAAACTGGAAATGCTTCATTAAAGCTGAAAATGCCTTATTAATTTCATAACATTATGTCAAAGGATAAGGTCAAATAGAATAACAAGTCAAAGTTAGGGACAGTATAGGAAACAAGAAAGAGATAAACAATTAGGGTAATCTTAGCCTTTCTGGCTCATTCTGGACTCAGACTCCAATCATCAATCAGTTGATCAAAAAAATTTACAAAGGAAATGCGTTACAAGTCTAAACAACCATGAGGGGGGCCTGAGTGGTGCAATAAGTTAAGCCCAGGACCCTTGATTTCCACTCAGGTCATGATCTCAGGGTCTTGAGACTGAGCCCCATATCAGGCTCCGCACTCAGCACAGAGTCTCCTTGGGATTCTCCCTCTCCTTCTGCCCCTCCTACTCATGCTCTCTCTCTCTCTCTAAAATAGATAAATCTTTTTTAAAAAATCTAGACAACCACTAATATTTAATATTTATAATAAATCAAAAATAGGTTTATCTTGATTGGGAGATTCCATATTATCTGACTTTTAGAAATTTAGGACTGAAAAATACCTAAAATTAATCTTATATTCCAGCTCTCTTACTTACCAAATTTATGAAAGCTGAGGCTTACCAGAATTTGTAAAGCCTTTCTGTGGAGTGATGAGTCCTAGAACTCCTTATCTGAAACTTAGGTATTGCTGTGTTCTGCTTCTTACATCATTGAAATGTACACATCATTCCAGTTTGATTCAGAAGTTCTCCTATGACTTAATTCGCATGCAGTTAAATTATCATATTCTGTCTTTGCTCTCTCCTTAGCACAGGCATCTTTTTCTCTCTCATCCCATTTGAATATTAAAAAACTCATAACTTTCAAATATATTATTGTTGCTCTTACTGTATAAGTTAAGACTACTATGTTACCTAAATAAAATTATGATATATTGTATCAATAAATGTGAGACCAAGGATATGGTCTCTTTAAGAACTTATGAATACAGGATAGGAAAAATATATAAGATAAAATAGTTTATTTTTTATTTTATATGTCAAGTAAAAGATAAATCCTCTACAGTTCTAATATTCATATTGTGGCCTAATACGTAAATTTTTTAAAAGAATTCCCTATTTCATTAGGAAATGATTTAAGTAGTTTTCCATTTTAAGTAGTTTCATTTCGAAGAGTAGGCCAGTTAAACATCTCTAACCTACTGGAGAAGTTCTCTCTCATTTTTTATCCTTTTACTCCAACCTTTTTATAATTTACTTTACAAAAATCATATAATCAAGAACTAGAATTGTCCTAAATTTATAATTTCATATAAATTAACTTTTGAACTTTTTCCTTTCCTGATTCTTTTTTAGTATTTTAATACATTTGACATTTCTGATGAGCACCTTTGTGGAAATTCTGCCAAATTAGAAATTAGTTAGCTATTCTCAAAATATTTAGAACCAAATACCAGTAGAACTAGATTTTTTTCAGGGCAAAGAATTATCAGATAAATGTACTATAATTATTAAGATGTTTCAAACCTGGCACCTCTTTTAAAATATGGAACATCCTGAGAAGCCTGGGTGGCTCAGCAGTTGCATGTCTGCCTTTGGCTCAAGACGTGATTCCAGGTCCTGGGATAGAGTTCTGTATCAAGCTCCCCACAAGGAGCGTGCTTCTCCCTCTGCCTGTCTCTGCCTCTCTCTCTCTGTCTTTCATGAATAAATTAAATAAAATCTTTTAAAAAAAATAAAATAAAATGTGGAACATCCCTAACTCCATCTTGAATAGGGAATTGGCACTAACTTTCCTTTTGAAAACACACAAGACTGCTTCAGGATCCGTGAAATGTGATGCTATTTTTTCAATGATGTTATATACAGTGTTGCATTCCTTAATGATGGGGTGAAATTCATAATTGGAGGGTGAGTTTGCATTTAGGCACTCACATTTTAAAGACTGTTTATGTTTCTATAACCCAGGAACAGCAACCAAGATTGATGCGATGGGTTTTGTAGGTAGCTGCTGAATGTTTATTATTATTTTTAAAAATAGCCACCATATAATTAGAGTCTCCCCTCACACCAATGACTTATTTCTCTGCTGTATTAGTATAAATTCCTCCTAGTGATACTATATTTCTCAAAATAAAATTTATTTCCATTAAAATATTTAATTGTTAAATAGGAAATTGAACAAATAATGCTTGAAGAAAAGTCAAAGTGATTAAACTCCTAACAGTTTTTGAAAATATAGTAGTAAAAAATATATGTAAAAATCTTTCATTTTCTTCAGATAACTAAATGCAAAGAAAACTGTGATCTTGTGTTAAAATGATGGATTGTTTTTTAGCCCTGCATAGAAAACTTTAATATGGCATATAGTCTTTTAAAATCCCTGTTTAATCTCTTTGCTGAAATAGCAAAAGCCTATATACAAAAATGTTGAGGAAGCGATGGCTTATGGAGAAGGAAGATTTCTTTAGTTGGAGAAATAGTTCTGTGTGTATTCACATATCCTTATGCTATAGTCTACATTGCTTATTATTGGAATTTGCCAAATAAGGAGAACATTTGTTCTGATGTTAACAGAGTGACAGAAAATCTCCTACAGCTGGGTAGATTTTTATTGCATTAGAACCCAATTCTTTCATAGTCCTTTGTGGACAAGCTATCATTTCAGTATGTTTGGAAGCATCATAATAATTACATGATATGTGTACTTAGCAAAATAGTTTCCAAGACAAGTTAAGATAGGAGTTATGTTTGTACCCCACTAACAGTATAAAATTCAGATCCTGCTGTGTGAGCATATTTAGTTTTTACCACATCCACTCTATAAATAAAAATAGTTCTGATTGAGATGAGTCATGTTGGCATCATGCTATAAGATATAACAGAATTGATGGTAAAACATTTTCACATTACTTTAATTTGCATGTTATGTTAAGTCATATTAATGTTATATCATACATGAAGTTGTAAAGTAGCTCTCAGTTCTGCACATATATGAATTTCCCTTGAATTATAATTTAACATATGGCTTTCATAAACAACTTACATAATTATGAAAAATTCTTTGGAAAGATAACTTCATTCATAGTCTATAATTTGGAATTGTTTTCATCCTGGATGTGAAATTCTTTGCCCAATACATTCACATGAGATATAAAGAGTTAAAACTAACATGCAAATACCTCAGGCCTGAACTACTCTTACCTGAAGGATTATTAAATAAATATGATTCTCTTTTCTATGATTTTTTAAAAATATATTATTGTTTTATTGTTTTATACTTCTTTTTTATAGACAGATCCAGGTTTTTAGCAACATTTCACTTAGTGTACTTTAGCAAGACAATTATTTATGCAAATTTTTATAAAGAATATTTGGACTATTTTAGGTCCATTAAAACTATCTGTATGGAGCATCAGAAAATAGAAGAGATTTTCTGCAGGTTTAATAAACATTTGATATTTTCACATCTCAGCACATAAATATAAAATTAAATTACTTGTTAAGAAAATTAAATACCCAATGTTTAGTCATGTTTTTCTTTTAGTCATGTATTCTATCATTAATAAGTTATATTATCGAGGCAGCCCAGGTGGCTTGGTTTAGCGCCGCCTTCGGCCCAGGGCATGATCCTGGAGACCCACGATCCAGTCCCACATCAGGCTTCCTGCATGGAGCCTGCTTCTCCCTCTGCCTGTGTCTCTGCGTCTCTCTCTCTCTTTCTCTCTCTCTCTCTCTCTCTCTCTGTGTCTCTCATGAATAAATAAAATCTTTAAAAATTAAAAAAAGTTATATTATCTTAAACTTTCAGTACCAAAAATAAGAGAAACACTGAATAATCAGGTATTTTAAAAGTATATATAATTACGGTTGAATAGTTATGTTATAACCTATTTATTATGATGAAAACACAAATATAAAATAATAATATATAAAGCTACTTGCTATGTCATCTACTGCAATAAGAGTCAAATAGAGGAATACATTAACTGCTCTGACAACTTTGCATGTTTTAATCTTCTGCCTAATGATTTCTAAAGTCTTAGGTGTAATGAATACCAAAGCAAATTTAAAAATACAACATATAGTGTATACTCAAATTTTAATAGGAATCCCATTTTTTTTTTTTACTTTTGACACTGAGCAAATAGTTTAAATCTGAAAATGTCTAATTAAACTACAGTAGAGAGCTAAGGTCCAGTTTTTGCCTCCATTGCTTTATTCCTCCTTGGCACAGGCCCTTAATTTAATACCAGCCCTTTATGAAGAGATATATATTTTGAAGAAATGTGAAACAATTTGATGTCTTAAAACAGAGAAACTGTGTAGGTAAATTGAATAGTTTTGGAAAGAATCAAAAGCACAGACAAAAAGAAGTAGTCTATACCATGCATACAGTAGAGATGACCAAACAGGCAATAATGACAACCAAAGTAAGAATAGAGAAACCAATACACTGGAAAAAAGGACATTTTGAAGTTTCAAGTATATGCCAGTAATTTATTCAATGAATTTTCTGCCCAAACATTTAAAGTTTTTGTTTGATTTATAATTCAGTCTTCATAAACCATTTTTTACCACTCAAAGGATGTAGGATTTTTGTATTGAAAATCATATATTACATTAGTGTCTGTATTATTTTTTATTCCACACCTACTTTTTTGAAGGTACACTTTTACTTGGCATGGGCTAAGTAGTCATTAACCTCACCATGTATGTCTCTTTTCCCACAACCTGATGATGGAGCTCACACTTTCTTGTTTTTAATCTTTAGTATAGCATACATAAAGATCAGTACAGAAGCTGTGATAACGTCTCTGCCAAATCATCAGATAGTGATGTCAGTGATGTGTCCGCCATTTCCCGAACCAGCAGTGCCTCACGCCTCAGCAGCACAAGCTTTATGTCAGAGCAATCTGAGCACCCCAGGGGTAGAATCAGGTGAGTTGGCAACACTGTTTATGTAAACTGGGTCTGTATCCATGGTATAAAAATGCATCTAGCTTTCTTAATGTTCTTGCTAAAATACAGTTTAGGTCAAGCAGCAGAAACATTTCCCTAACATAACTGAGACTGGAGTGGGTTGAGTGTTATTTGCTATTGTGTAATATTGCCTACAGACTATTCAATACTATCTAGCTTATAACTGCAGTCATAATTTTAGAGATTGCTCAGAGTAATATATATGGAAGTTTCTTCTAATGTAATTAAATCCACAAAGCATCCTTTAGTCCAGTGTTAAAATTTTTTTCCTAAAAAGGGCCAGATAGTAAATATTTCAGGCTATAAAGGACAGTCTCTCTTGCATTTACTTTATGATATCATTGTAGTGTGAAAGCTATGCAAACAAGTGAGCATGACTGTATTCCAATAAAACTTTATTCATAAAAACAGGAAGCAGGCTACGTTTTGCTTATGGGCTGTAGTTTACTGACCTCTTCTTTAGTCCCATAGCAGTTGGTCTTTCAGAGTAGGACTGAGCAGACGTGATACTAAATACACATCCCTAGTTTACATTACATGAGTTCTAAGAAATCTGCATGAAGTTTGTTTAAAACACCAGTTGTGCTCTTGTCTTTTTACAACACAAATGCCTCGCTGAAAGAGAAAAGACCACAGGAATCAGAGTGCCATCTTACTTAACGCAGACTTTGTCTGGACAAGCCATATTTTATATTTGTTCTTAACTAGTTTCCAGAAAGAAGTTTCACTGAAGGAATTTGGGGCTTGGTGAGAGGCCCAAAAAATAGAAATGTTCAGAATAGGAGCAATTACCTTTCTAATACTCTGAAAATGGACCTCATAAGGGTACAAATAAATTTCCTAGTGACAAATCAGTTTTTTCTAGGCATTTCGGTTTTCAGCTTCCCTTTCTCTGCTCTGCACTTTAGAATACATAGGAGCTGAGAGAGTTTCTCAAATATATAAGTGGATTAGGTAAATTTAGCCACCAATGCTAACAGCTAAGCAAATTTCCCCTTACACTAGTGAAGAACTACTTTTCTTATACCCCCATACTTTGAGCCAGTGATTGATTCTTGGTATGTGGTACACATGTGATTTCTTAGAATACTTAGGAGGAATAGATAGGAAAAATGAGATGGGATATTAGTAGCTCTTTCTTCTGACATTCAGTCTAGTTATCTTTTCATATGTATTCTTCTCCCTGAATATCCTCATAGGCACACAGGCATACCTGTACACACACACACACACACACACACACAGGCATACACAGGGTTATTTTTCATCCATCATCAACCACTTGGTAGAAACCTGAGAAAGCTTTGGAATAAAGAAAAAAAAAAGGAACAAAATAATATCAATATAAAAACACTGTGTCTCACAAATTAGAACATTGCTTTTAGTCTTTTTAGCCATTAAATATTTCCTGTTCTCATAACTAACATTGTGAAGAATGATGGTTCTCAATATAATACTGCTTCTCAGTTCTATTTTTTTAACTAACATCTGCATAGGTTTTAAAATTCTGTTAATTCAAATCTGTGGATAAAAGATCAACAAGTCTAATCAATTATGATGATAGAATGTATTTCTATGTCATAAGAAGCAGCAAACTTTTGGATTCCTATCATGTGTAAGAACATCATTATTTTCCAACACTACCTTAAAGTATAATACCTAGGCTACACATTCAAGGAGATTATAATTTATGTGAGAATTTAAATTTATTTTTATTTTTATATTCTCATTCCATATGTATTTTTTCCTCAAATTTTCCCATGACACAAAAAATGTTTTATTATACATTGTGTCAGATGAATTTTATTCTAGAAGTCAACAAATAGATTTAGAAGACATTAGAGCATTTCCAAAGACAGTGTTCAGTATCCTAAAAGGCAACCAAATACCGAGTATTCTCATAAAGGACTATAGGAAGAAAGTATATGATATAATCTTATCCACATTATGCAAACTCTTAGTATATAGACACTTAAAATAACATGTACAGCTTTGTTTACCTCTATCCAAGCATATTATGAACCAAGAAAATGTTGATAAGCACATCTGAAATGAACAGTAGGCTGCACAACCTTCTGTATAATTTCTTGCTTTCCAAATACTGCTTGCTATATTTTCCTATTAATGATTCACAGTCTACATTACTGTATTTTATTTCACAATAGTTCTTCAATTCAGCAGAGGAATATAGGATAACATTTAAAATAATCTTTGGATTTGTTTGTGATGGCATTTGAGAAATACTTAACTGCAAAAATCACTTGCTACATATAGCTTAGAATAACAAATTGAACTTTCATTTTATATACTTACTATTTTTTTAAGATTTATTTATTTATTTTAGAAGGAGAGAGGGAGGGAGCATGAGCAGGATGAGTGTGAGGCACAGAGGAAGAGGGAGAGAGCTTTCCAGGAGGACTCAACTCTGAGCCCAGAGCCTGAGTGGGATGCAGAGCTTGATCCCAGGACCCTGAGATCATGACCCGAGCTGAAACTGAGAGTCAGACACATAACCGATTGCACCACCCAGGCACCCCTTGTGCTTACTAATCATTAAGCCTACTGACAGTGAATATATTAAGAGTGATCAAAAGGGAATTTTTTTCTTGGAGCTATCCACCCTTAATGTTGCATGGTTGCCTGTTGTACAATGAAAAAGCAGTCTATTGAGATCTATAAAAGTACTAAAAAGGGAGGAAAATAACATGGAAATTTGATGATAGGGGAGACAATGAACTGGAAACAGTGAAGGATACTGGATATTGAATATCTGAGAAAGAAAAGATATTTTAGTGATCTTCTAGTGGCTTCTTTCACAGCATCGTCTTAGTTTTAATAGTCCAAGATTGATGAGTCATCACCACTGTTATTTTCTGTGACCAGATTAAAGCTATAAAGAGATAGAAGGAATATGCCATGTGCCCTTTAAAAAGGGTACATACAGTAAAAACACTACACCATACTTATTAATATATCATATGACTAAATGTACTATATATTTAAATTATTATACCAAGCCATAATTATAAACAAAATACTGCTTGACCTATGAATATAAGTGATTCAACAGACTTGATAATGGCAAGTTACAGAGCTCTTGGGACAGATGAGTAGGTTTTCCTGGTAAGGTTCTTCCTTGCAAGCCATTTAACATTGCAGTTTGAAGTAAATAAAGCAGCACTGGTTTTGTTTGAAAAGCTTTAGCCTGCTTCGTTTTTACCTTTCTACTCTGCGATTTCATTATAGATTTACTAAGATGTATTTAGTTAAATCCGGGGAATGTCAGTAGAAAATTAGATAAATGCTTACTATCTAATAGGCAATAAAAAATAAGTTTTAATAAATTAAATTTTCAAAAGATAATAGCAACTTGGAATACCTTATAAAGATGTGATTATTTATGAAAAGGATTATAATTAGATATTAGTAGGGACTCATGTGGGGGAAAAGTATACACTATACATGGAGTTTTAAAAGTACATTGTAATGTTTTTTATAGAAATCTACTTCTCTGTAGTTTTATTCTTTTATTAGAAATAGATCATAGATTCTGTTTAAATTTAAAATATTTTAAAGGGCAGCCTAGGTGCCTCAACAGTTCAGCGCCACCATCAGCCCAGGGCCTGATCCTGGAGACCCGGGATCCATCCCACGTCAGGCTCCCTGCATGGAGCCTGTTTCTCTCTCTGCCTGTGTCTCTGTTTCTCTCTCTCTCTCTCTCTCTCTCTCTCTCTCTCTCTCTCTCTCTCTGGGTCTCTCATTAATAAATAAATAAAACCTTTAAAATAAATAAATAAATAAATAAGTAAATAAAATATTTTAAAGAGCATGTTCAATGGAGATCATAGATAATGATAATTAGAAATTTTTCTTTAATTAGAAAAATAAGTCAGTGTGTCTTTGGAAGAAAGTATGAAAAATTTATACACGTCTATTTATGATTGCCTGTAAGTTTTTTTCCAATAATTTTGTAATTTAACCTAAAAGAAGTTACACATTTAATTTAATATTCTGTTGTTAAATAAAACAATAATATAATTCTCCCTGCTTAATTATTATTTTCCCCTCAATATATAAGAAATTAACTTAACAGCTGCTAACAGCACATCTTCAGTATAACATATTATTAAAGATGTCTAAAGCTTAGACATCTTTTAAGTACAAGGAAAACAACATCAGACTTAGGTATAAGAAACTCCCCTGTTGCTAAGATGTTGTCTACCTTTATTTCAATACTACATAATTCTTAAAGCACATGAGGACTTCCTCAAGAGCCAGTTATGTCACCCTTTAGTCTTTGATGTGTTGTAATTACCACACAGACCGGCTATATTAAGGATGCTCAGTGCTATAGTAGCTACCAAATAGCAGGATGACTGTTGAGAGGATCGAAAATTGTTACTATATTTTTATGCCAAAAAGTATATAATGGGAAATTTCTAACAGATTCTTAAATTTCTATTTAATGTACTGTGTTTACATGTTTATGTTTGCACATTGCAGAACCAAATGGGGATTATAAATCTAGCTGTATTATGTTGATTGGCAGTTAATTATTTTATTGGTCACCAGGCATGAACTCTGGCAATCAATATTAAATACCTTCCTTGGGTAAATATTCAAATTCTGTGACAGTTCTCTTATTTGGAATGGATAAAATATCCTTTTACTTTGAGCCAGTGCTTTCCAAACTTCACCTATTTCATGTGTCATTTTCATAATTTTGCCATAGCTATGCAATATGTATATTATATTTTAATATAATGAAAATATAATATTTTATGTATTAAAATATTTTATTTTTAATATATTAAAAATACTGATTTATTAAGTATCTTTTTTGTGTACCAGGAACTTTGATAGATGGTCCACATGCAAGATCATGATTGCTATAACAGCCTTGTAATGTAATTATTAATGTCATCATTTTACAAATAAAGATCGAAGTGGATTCACAT